TTCCTCGAATTCGCGAACTTCTCCGCTCAGACATCCGTGCACCTTGATCAGGTTAATCGGAAAGAAAACAGGAACATCTTCCTCCCGTTCAGCTCGTTCACTTTCTTGTGTTTCGTTCCAAGGCTCAACTTGGCGGTCCCTCAGTCTAGTGTTGTAAGGGTGCAATCTGCGTCCATTGGACCGCTGGCTGATGTAACGTCGCCTTCGTTGAAAACCTGCAGGTAGCATTCTACTATTATTGTCAGTCCCTTTTCTCGCACACTACGAGCGTCAGAGTTTCTGAACTACTTCCGCACTTAGCCCTGTGTCGCTCGCAGTAATGATTATGTTGCGTATCGTGCTTGCGCCTGGAAGCGGCCCAAATTCACAATGCGAAGAGTAAGTGTTCTGTTTACTTTTATGCTAACGTTTAGGGAAACGCACACGACATATACTATTACATAACTGTACATAACGACCGAATTTGACCACGCGAAACGTGACTCTCGCCATGCAGCATATGCAGGTGTTGTGTAACAACGGTTTGAATTTTGAAAGGTTTGTACGGGAACGCAACGGTTTTGCTTGAAAAGTCATTTATTTTTATATTTTGTGAATAAAATCTACTTACCCTGTTGTGTGTTTTATTCTGTTGTTTGCCAGCTCCACAGGCCGATCTAACGCGATTTCGACGCGAGTCACGTTTCGCGTAGTCAAATTCGGTCGTTATGTAATAGTATATGCCGTATATGTCACGTTTCGCTTAACGCTAGCATAAAAGATATCTCTTCAGACAACTCCTCGCATTGTGAGCTTGGGCCAGCTGTGTTTCGTCCAAAATGGCAGAAATGTGTAACACCTTTTGACCAATTGTATGTGTTTTTGTTTCTTCCGATGAAAATGCGTTGTGACCGTGTTTACTAGGGGACGGGACGGGACGGGACGGTGTCTGCAGGTGAAAGCTCGAAACCTATCGATTGTGATTTTTATAGTGAGGGTGTTTTGTCGGATCTGTCTGCATGTACCGAAACACATTTGCAGCTGCCTTTGAAGTTTAATATTGTTGGTAAGAAGCTTTGTGAAGTGTACTGTATTGTATAATGTTGATTGCACCAATGGAGTGAGTAATTACGAAGCCATTTCGACATGTTCATAAGTAATCTAAGTATTAAGCTTCAAAGACAGCTGTAAATGTGTTTCGGAACATGCAGAAAGATCCGACAAAACACCCTCACTATAAAAATCTCAATCGATAGGTTTCGAGCTTTCACCTGCCGTCAGATAACATTATCTTGCCATGAGTTAAGTTTGTAGTGCCGTGACTTTTTGTTTTGCCCTGACAGTTGTGGGCCACCGTAGGGGGCAATTAAGTTCTGCCTTCGTGGCGGGCATAAAGAAACGCTGTCATGGTGACAGCGCAAATTTTCACTCAGCATATTTGCACCTTGTGCGCCAAATGCCACCAAATATACAGCTTAGTTGGATAAAAAGTTCTATAGAGCAAACCAAAAACAGTAGTTTCGAAATACGGTGCAGGATTGCAAGGATTGCAATTGGTTACAGTTCAAGAAATTTTAAGGTTACCATTCTTGTGACAATTTTAACTTCCGAGCCATTATTTTGTCTGATATTTCCTTGCTTCTATTACTCTGGTCCCAGAGGTTTTTCCTGATTTTTCTCCGCATGAGAGAGCTGCGAGAGAGCCGCGAAGCTTTGAAAACACGAGTCGGGAAGCGGGTGTTACTAAAACTGGTAACGGGGAACGGGGAACGGGGAAC